AATTGGTGTCACTAACAAGTTCATTACCTTTTTGATATATGGCCACAGTTGACCGTATCGGTAATACATTTCCTAATATATCCATCTTTTTTTGCTTATTGGTTGCACGTATAAATAGTCAATTAATGATAAATCTTCCCTTCTGATTGACCAGGAAAAATATTGTGCTCTTATTTGTTCATGAATGCTCGTCCGGTCGATTAGCTATGTTTCCAATCGCGGAAAAAAAGAAAAGTGCGAATATGATTTTTTTCTTCTGAAATTCTATCGCGATAAACAAAATCAAATAATTTAGGGACCCATGCTGATCTGATGTCCCTAGTCCACATTTGTTCTTATGAATTATTTGTCAACAACCTCAGCACGCTCACACACTCACTTGCGATCTATTTATAAACTTTATAAACCCTATTATTATTATTTGTATACATTACGATAATAAAAAACTATGAATGTTTATCTTTTTTATATGCTTAAATAAATATTGTTTGGAAATTATTATTATTATTATTGATAAGCATTTACTGTAATGCGAGATTTTTATTAAACTTGTAAATTTAAAATAATATATTTATTATTATTATTTTTACTTAATAAAACTCTATATATTTATAGTGTATATATTAGCGTAAAAAATTTTAAACTATAGATTTATATTGAAACAATAATTTAAAATATAAATTAATAATAATTTTTTTAAATTGAAATATAAAATACATTTGTATATTAATTTCTTTAAAAAAACTAAAAAAAATAATTAAAAATTTTTTTGTATAAATACTTTAAAAATAGAAATATTATTGAACTTTAATATAATAAAAATATTAATTATAATTAGACAAACTAGTTTAATTAATTGTTAATAATAAAGATTAGTTGAAAATTTATTGTTTGAGTAAAGTATAAAGTTAATAAATTTTATTATTTGATTGGTTTCTTATTTTGTTAATAAATAAATAAAAATATATATAATGTTTTTAAAATAAAAATCATATTTGAGATAATATAAATCAATAATATTAATTAAAATATAATTGATAATGAAATTTATAAATAAAAAAAATATTCAAATAATAATTTAATTTTAAATATAATTAGATCATTACACTTTTTTTATAAAATTATTTAATATATTTATTTTAATGAATTAACTATTTTAAAATTAAAGATACTTTAAAAAATCATTTCTTAAAACTTTATACTTGAAAACTTTTAATTAAAAAATTTAATAAAGTTTTATATACAATAACTATTTACAGTATAATAAATTAATTGAATAACTTATTAATTATATTACAATAATAAATATAATAATAAATTTTTTTAAAACAGAAAAAAATAATTGTGTTATTATTTACCATACAGTATACAATTTTTTAAAGAATACGAACTATATACTGTACATACGTAGTATATTAAAAAAACACCTAACAATTTTTTCTATAACTTTCTAAAAACTATGACGTAACATATGGATCTTTTCTGTTAAACTAAGTTTTTGTTGTTATAAGCTAATCCATCATAGGTTTGTTATTTTAATTAGTCACGTATATAGTGTAATTAATTTGTTTTATAAACTGTGATAAATAAAAAGAGTGGTTAATGCCATCCCATATTCTGTATGAAAAAAAAAAGAGGATTGTGTTAAAGTACTGTATTGTATACCATCAATCGTCTTCAGCATCGTTTTACACATATTTTTTATTGTAGTTTTCACACAAACCGAAAGCTTTGAGATCAAATATTATATTACCATGCACTGTACAATACTTTTAAACTACATTATAATTGATTGTGAGATTACTTATTTGTGGAATCTGATCACACCCATTTTTTTCGGAAAACTTTTGTATGAATGCGGATTTTGTGATCTGTATATGGTTGCAAGTGTAATCGGGAATGGTGCGAATTACGTATAATTAGTAATCTCGACGTAAATGCACCAACCGCCAACATTTGCAATACCCGTTAAACATAATCCTTAAACAACAATACATGCGCTGGATAAGAATAATAGTAATCATTGCTGGCGCGATGTGATGGAAACCCGAACCGATTATGCAACGTTCTCTACTAAAATTTTTTTCCAATAAAAACATCACACAATCGAATTAGAGCTGATTTAAATGTATTTGTCATGAAGGTTAATTAGAATTTCAGATATTTGGAATCCTTGCAAGTCGTGAAAAGGAAATTCATAAAAAGAACCAATGAACATTTATAGCAAGAGTCTTAATTTAGATCAAATTCACGTAGCCGTTCAAACGTCATGATGAACTAGAAAACTAGACAACTTTTAGGTAATGCGAGTACGTGTTTAAATTGATCTGCGGGTAAAGCAGATCTGGTAAGATGAAATGGCCTACCAGTAGTTTCCCGTTTACTTGAAAGACAAAAAAGATTTTTGATTTCCAAAAATCGATTTCGCGTCGAAAAAAATGCGGAACGTAAAATTTTATTGTATCTATTTATTTTATTGTATCTATTTATTTTATTGTATCTAATTATTTTATTCCTAGATATTTGTGACAAATTTTCAATGAATAAAATAAAATAAAATACGATCAGAAAGATACTAAACATATTTGTCGCTCACAGACCAAGTATTATAAACCATTAAAATCCGAATCGCCGCTTCGTCCTTCTTACAAAGATTACAAAAATTGTGAACAGGTAGATGGCGGCTTAAAATTTTGAAACAACGATTTGCGGATCGTCAACAAGTTAAAAATCGCAAGGATCAAAGAGAATTATTATTTATTTCGTAGAGACGAGTGGAAATGCAAGAAAAGATCTGGTCAGTAAATATAGACATAAGATACTGGTTTCATTGATATGACTAGTTATACACCGAGTATTTCTCGGCTTCAACATTTTTCGAAATGAGGATGATTACATTGTGTTTTGTTTATGATAAACCGGATCATTCGGGAACCATACTCAAAGAGGTTCATTATATTGACTTCCTGATGCATTCATCGAAGGTACGATTTCAAAATACTTTCTGCGATTTTAACCTTCGTTTCAGATTTGGTGAAAATACAAAAAACACGTTTTTTAACTGCTGTCATTTCGGCCGTAAGTGGTCGGTCAACTACTTTCATTGAACTTCCCGAAGGTAATAAAATTTTGTTACAAAACGATGACACGAATTTTACTAGAGTAAGGTAAGTCGTAAATGCTACCAAACATCGGGCACGTGATTCTAATCAGCAAGTGTACACTTGATGTGAGCATTTCGCCAAAAACGCATGTTGCGAAGCAATTGAAGTCGATAATATTCGCTGTTATATTTACATTTATTAAAACAATGAATTCAACGGGGATAATATAGTAATATAGTAATCTAGTAATTCTAGCATTGGTTTCATTTGATAATGATTAGGCTTTAATGTTTGAGTCGAAAGATTCTAAAACCTTGTTAATACGTCGTAAAGATGCCTCCTTTCCAATCGTTTTTATCGTGCCTGTTACTCCTGCCCCAATCTTATTTTTTTTTTTTAATGCGAAAAAAATATACCAGGTCAATTTTAGATTCCATTCAGAATCTGACAAAAAAACGCTTAAGAAAGTTTACCTTTATTCCAGTAAAAATATATCTCATAATCGTCATCACCTGAGGTTTTTCAATTCCTGTGCTCGTGACCACGTTGTGAACAATCTCTTTAATTTTGTCCTCTTCGAATTCTTTTTCGTCGAGAGCTTTGACCTGTTCCAACGCAATCGAAGCCACTGATTCTGTACGCGTCAAAACAAATATTGCGCCTCATCAATCAATCAGTCAACAATTTGTTATAATCGAACATTTCTGAAAAACGTGTATATATCAACTCAATGAATCATTCGAGATTTCTGATCTAACTTCCATCGATTCTGATGACGAGTAGTCAGGGTCGACAAAGAAATATCCACACAATTCCGGGATATCGTGTATATTTTGGATTCGTTTCTG